ATAAATAAGTATCCTTTCTCTTTATTTTTAAATAGTTTTATTGAGTGTTATTGAAATTTACCAATTCGTCCTATTCATTATGTCGTTCGAATTCAAATGTCGTTGAAATGAAATGAAATGGAAACACAGTTTTTCTATTTAAAATAAGAAAGTTTGGAAACTTAGGGAAAAAACCATAAATATGGTAATTTCATAAATTTAAGTCAAATAATTCCTGAGATATAAGGCCTTTGCCCGACTTTTGACTCACCCTGTATAGTCAAACTGTTTTGAATTGGAAATAAATAGAATGCAAGGAATTTTTGATCATCTGCAATCTTTTTTAATCTCGATGAAAGAGATGTCAGACGTTTCCGGTGTAGTATGTTTCAAAGTATAACGTCTTGGCTTTTCACTGCAATCATCACGTTAACAAACCGCCGGCAACCAACAACCAGTCGGTATTGTAGGACAGAGCTTTAAAATTTTAAGGTGTTTTAAAAATACAAAGACTAAATATTATATTTTGTTTATTTAGGTATAATAAGTTGACATTAGACCAATAGAAATTGTTGATAATTACCTAAGTAAATACATTTTTATTCAAAACCTAGTTTTGTTTTACTCTTAGAGTCGTTTATTGTCTTTTTTGTAGTATTTATTAAAATTTAAATGATACGACATAACGAACAAAATAGTGATATATTCGTCAGAAGTTGCTTCGAAACGCGGAATAACAGGTTATTCAACACTACCACTGATACCAGCCGGCGTGGTCGACATCTACAGGACTAGTTTTTTTTTTGTCCCTTATGGATGACTAAAGCAACAATAAAGCAACAATAGGTAAAAAGATTGTAATTAATTTTTGATGACATTTTGATGTTTGTCCGGTCTCATGGTCAAGTCAAATGACCCTTAGCGAATATATTCGGGCTGTTTTGGAAAAATGTACCCAAAAACTAACGGTTCGAGAAAAAGCAACGCGTCGATAAACTTTTTCAGACACTCATTAATTAAACACTCGCTCCGATCGCACCAAAACAAGCACGTGATTAAAATGCTATTTATCAAACTTGTTGCGTAATATACTATTCAGTTTTTTAGTGAGAAAAGAGTAAATAAATTAGCGTCACCTGAAAGAAAGTCTCGCCCACGGAACGACAACTATGCTAATCTCCTTAATCTACCTAGCGGTACCCAAACTGTGGCCGATCTACGCGTATGTTTATATATTAATTTAATATTTATATATGTATATATCCCTTCCACGAGCATACCGTTATCATTCGCAGAAAATTTACTGCATCAACCGCAACCGCTTAGACGTAAATCAATAACAGTGGATAATAGAATAACAGAAACAAAAAGCTTGGGCGTTGTGCCAGGGGATGAATAAAAGCAGTCGAGCTTTGGGATGCTAAGCGAGGAAACGTAGGTGACGTCATTGGTCCGGTTTACACGGACCTTTTCGACCGACCGACTGACTCGAGCTAAATAATAAATACCGGAAACCATAAGTAATAAAAATGTGTTTCCGCCACTGATTTAAACCTCCACTCAAAAAGTGAGCAAATTGAACTTTACCGGGTTCGAACAAAGGACTTGTCGACACGAAGCGTTTTACAAAATATTTTTGTGCATGCAAAAGTGAGCTTTATTAAAACAATTAGGTGTATCAAGACCCATCTCCATATCGATGATTCTGTTTTAACTGTGATTTTTTAGGTCTTGTACTGTTTGTTCTCACTGGCGATTAATTAATAATCTGATAATGAAATTTATGGATTAATTCGATGATCATGAATATATTTCATCCTATTTTTTTATATAATATAATTTATCATTCAGAGAAAACCTACAATATATCAGCTAAATGTCAGTACCGTGCCATGTCGATTTCTAAAATTTATCTATAAATTCTTATCTTATTTTATTAAAAATGGCCATAAAATCCTATGCATAAAAAAGTTTTAAAATCTAGTTTTAAAGTCTTACAAATTTTAAGTAAAAAAGTAACAGTTAGAACGAAACCACCCCCATAGCATTTTCGGTAAATTTGAAATTAACTATAAAAGACAGAAAAGTTTGAATTCCCAGTATAATGACTACATTTACGAATCTACGTTTCTATGAAATTTTTTTGAATGTCTGCTCTTAAATTTTCTTCTCATTATCAACATCAAGACATTTTGCGTAAGGGCATACTTATGCGCATTCTTTTGTGCATTCTTTTAATATATCCAAGAAGTCTAACCGCCTCGCTCACCATCAGAACCCACCACTTCGGGTTTCTATTTCTATTTAATTATTTTTATTATAGTATTATTTCTTACGGTCTCCGACATCAGAAGAGGGATCTGGACTTTTCAGTAACATTCGGAGAGTGAAAGTGATTATAATGACAGCGATTAGTGCAGTGCTAAATAGATACGCTATGCGCTACCGTTAGACAGACGAACTGAATTGTGCATTTATGAGCTCTACAAAGCAGAAGAAAAAACAATGGGATGCAGTTCTTAGCAGTCTTCGCAAATCTGGTAGATTTATCAGAATTAAGAGGAATATTTTGTCACTTTCAAAATTTTTGTTTTCTTTTGAAAGAAACTAATTCATGTAAATATGATGGCAAACCCTTTGCCCACTTTGAGAGGCAGTAGTAGCTCTTGAGGATGCAATAAGTAAATGTTGAGTTTTGTTGGAATTCAGCAAATTTTATTTTTTATGGATGATCGTCTTTATGACTACCGATATTATCTTAGAACAAATATTTAATCAAATTGGGTATCGCTTTTCTTTTTTGGGTTTAATTTTTAATTGATTTGAATTAAATTTAATTAGTTTGGAAAAAAAATATTAGTTTTTGTAACATGAATAAACAATTTTCATATCAGGAGTTCTACTTGTTAGTGTAAACTCGGGTAGTCTGCAAATTTGCTTAAAAGAGACAGCCGCACTGATTGATGGCGGCATTGGAAATTGGGAATTTTCGTAATTGAGGATTCACTTAAAGCCAACATAATAAAAACTGATTGTTTATCTTTCTTTTAATCTCAAAATTCTATTAAGGGAAAAGTATAGCACCGCACAAATTTTAAACCACTTAACGTTATTCGAAATATCGAATTACTGGCAGGAGCTCAACTACCCGAAAAAATCCTTTTAAACGTTATTGTCCCAATAAATGGAAATGAAAACCATATGATTCCAAACAATATTTTTTTCAGTAAAATGGAAGGAAATTATTCTTAGTGTTTTATCTCAATAATGACATTCGGCATTGGGGAAAACTTTATAGAAAATTTTTAAATGTCATTAATTGTGTATAGTGCAAGTGAGAAAATGTTTTGTTAATTGTTTAATTTATATAAAATAAATAATAAAATAAAATAATAAAAGTATCTCAATCCAGGTATACAATTCCCACTTACATTTACGGCAAATGAACTGGCAAAAGTCATATCAAAGAATTAACTGGAGAAATAGCTGTTAATTGTTTAAAAAAACTAACAATTTGTTTGGTGTTCTTTCTGGCATAATAAAGTTGCTATATGGCAAGTTTATAGTATATTATGCAACAACTGCGGTAAACGTCATTTGACTCACAAGTCTATTTGACACGAACGGAGCGCAGCGGAGCGAGTGTTTAATAAAAGAGTGAGTTAAAAAGTTCACCGAACGTCTGCATACTATACTTTTTCTACGACCGTTAGTTTTTGGTTACATTTTCGCAAAATAACACGAATACATTCACTGACATGACCGTCAGAAATGACAAACGTCAAAATTCAGAGCGTGTTAAATATCTCCGAAAACATCCGATTGCTCCCAAATCCGTGCGGTAAAATCCCGGAAATGTTCGAAGTGGCTCGGATTCCTGGGACGCTAGATCGGTGCGTAATTAGGTATTTTACAGACGGGAGTAGAAAAAAGTTAGTGCCCTTTTCAGTAGTCGATTTCATATTCGGTAAAATAAGTGAATCAATTATTTTCAAATTAGCCCATCAATGTCGAAGTCCAGCTGTAAGTGCAAAAGTACGTTTTCCGAATTTGCATTTCGTCAGTTTATTCGTGTCCCTGATGAGCAGCGTTTTGGTTTATTTGACGAATGCCAAGCAAGGGTTGGTGGCATATATTTCTGTTATTTTACTTATAGGGTCTGTGTGGTGGAGGCATATGTTTGCCTAATTTTGTTTACCCAGATGTGGGTGTGTCGCATTGATTTATTGGAGAGGCGTGGGTCGCCGTAGATGCAATCCCTATAAGCATTGCGTTATTACATGGGTGAAGATTTGTTGTTGGATGGTTAGATTTACATGAAAGTAGACAGTGTGACCAGCTGATGAGTGTGTCGCCGCAGTGCTCTGCTTTATTGGAGAGGCGTGTGTCGCCTAAGGTGATTATCCCGATAAGCATTGCTTGGTTGGAGAGGCTTGTGTCGAGAAGGTGATTATCCCGACAAGGATATTCCAGTGACTTACTGAATGATGGTAGTGGAACCGAATTGCAATGTTCTTGATAAGTTTGCAAGTTGCAAGTAAGTTGATTTTGGTTTCCTACTAAAAGAATTTGCATATTGATAATACTGATAATAATAACAATAACGGAGGATCGCATTGCGGTTTTTATTTTTCTTGGTTAGTTAGGATGGACTAGTGAAGATCAAGCTTTCAAGTTCTAAATGACTACCAGGTGCCCGAGGACGTGCACTAGTCAGTATGGCCGTATCGGCGCCCTTAAATTTAAGTGATCGATACTCTCCAATATTTATATTTCGGGTTAGGTGTTTCTTTGTTCGACTAAATAGTTATGATTTTGTCATTCGTAATATTGTGGACCCATGGGAACTCACTTTGGTATTTTTCCGAATCACTGATTAGATCGGATTTTGAGTAGCTCCGATGGTTTTTTCTATTTTGTGGTTGATCTAGCAGATCGCGGATTGTTGGATTAAGTTGAATTAAGTGATTTGATTATTCATTTGTTGGGAGCCCTGTACTGCATGTCCAAGAAATCTAACACTACGTCTCCTCGCTCACCATCAGAACCCACCCCTCTGAGTATATATATCTATCGGTTTTTAAAACGTCCTCCGACGTCGTCCGATTCCCAATCTCCATCGGTCTCCATTGTATTTCTCTATCGATGCCCTCTCTCCAGCTCTTTCTCGGTCTTCCCCTCTTCCTTCTTCCTGTAGGTGTCCAGGTGAGTATTTGTTTAGGCAGTTGCTGTTCTTCCATTCTTTGAACGTGACCGTACCACTTTAACTGTTTTGTTCTTATTTCATCTGAAATCGTGTGTCCCACCTTCATGGTTGTGCGAATTACTTCGTTTGGGACTCTTTCAGTTCTTAACCTTCCTGCCGCTCTTCTCCAAAAGTCCATCTCTGTTGCCTCCAGCGTTCTCATGGTTCTTTCTTTTAGTGGCCACACTTCACTGCTGTATGTGACTATGCTTTTAATGATCGTATTGTATGTTAGGTGTTTGTTTCGTATCGTGATTTTTTCGTCCCACAAGAGGGTGTTCAGCATAGTAATGGCCTTTCTTCCTTGATTATTGCGTTCTTTGATGGCGTAGTCTAACGTCCCACTGCTGGATATGTACATTGCCAGGTATTTGTAGGTTTCGCAGCTTTTGATAGCCTGACCATCCTCTAAGAGGAGGTCGCGTTGTGCTCCACCGATACACATATACTTTGTCTTTGGTAAGTTTACTTAAAACCCCCATTTCTTGTATTCTTCGATGAGTTTTCGCATCATGTATTCTACATGATCGTAGTCTTGCGCCATTATAACTTGGTCATCTACGAAGCTTAGGGTGTATATGTTTGCATTATTAAAACGAATGCCCATATTTCTGCATTTTTGCTTCCATTTCCATAACGCTTTTTGAAGATATATCTTCAACAGGTGGGGGATACAGAACACCCTTGTTTGAGTCCCTTGTTGGGTGTAAATCCATTGGATATTTTTTGGCCGACCTTGACTTTAATGTGGCAGTTTCTATACAGTTCTTTCACTGATCTTATTATGTTGACGCTTAGGTTTGTCTTGTCTAATGCCTCCCAAAGTTTTGTTAGCGGTATGCTATCGTATGCCTTCTTCAGATCCACGAACAGGAGACGTATGTAGATTATTGAAGGCTGACATTTTCTCGATAAGCTGGGTGACACAGGTCACCACAGATGGTCAACGACGGATCTTCCCGCGCGAAAGCCCGCTTGTTCTTCTGCTTCACTGTTTATGTATTCGCGTTCTATTTTGGCCTTTAATATTTTACCGTAAATCCGACCAATTGAGCTCGTAACTGCGATACCTCGATAGTTGTCGCAGTTTTCCTTGTTGCCCTTTTTGTGGATAGGGGTAAGCAAGGATAATTTCCATTCTTCTGAGATATCTCCGCCGTTAATACAATTTTGAAAGAGCTTTGCTAGATGTTCATACAGTTTGTGTGTTCCATATTTGATTAATTCTGCGGGAACATTACCTGACCCTGGTAATTTTTATTTTTTAAGTTTGTGCAAATATCTTCTACCTCATTAATGCTGATTCTGGTCGGTGAAGCCTAAACCTGTATTATGCTAGGGCTGTTGTCTTCAAGGAACTGTTCTCAGTCCTCTGTTAAAAGCTTACGGAAATATTCATCCCATTTATTCGTTGTGACGGGAGTTACTATCTCTCTCTTTGTGTTTTGGCGTAGAGATTTCAGAAGCTTCCAGCTTTCACTACTTTTTGTTCCGCCCAGGTAGGTATTTATTTGGTTGCATTTTTTTCCCACGATTTGTTTTTCTTCTGGGTTATTTTTCTTCTTACTTGGGTTTGTGCTTCTTGGAAGACTTATGGTAGCTTGATTTGCTGGATAGGTAGTGTTGGTACCTTTGTCTTTTATCTTCAATATCTTGTTTAATTTCCTCGTCCCACCAATAGGGTTTGTTAGATTTCCGGTCATCGCAGTATCCTATCTATTCTTGGGCTGCTTCTTTCAGGCATTGTTAAATATATTCGTAATGTTCTGTATTGTTATTAAAGTGTTGTGGCTGGAGTTTCTGGTCAAGCCTTTTTTTGTATAGGTCTTTCGTACTTTCCTGCTCAAAGCTCTCAAGATTATATCGGGGTTGTCTCATTTGAGTATCCTGGTCTTCTTTTAGTTGGGTCTCTTGTCTTTGTTTTCTATTTGATTTTGGTAGCGACAAGATTTTGGCCTTGAGTAAATTATGGTCGCTGCCACATGTTGTACTTCTAAGCACTCTAACGTCATACGTCCTCGTCGATGTAGTTTGTCAGACTTTTGTTCCCATGTATACTTACGGATCATTGGGTGCTGGAAGAATCCATTCGTTATTCTAAGTTCGTTTTGTTCGCACAGTTGGATTAGTCTGCGGCCGTTGTCGTTTGTTACATTCTTGCGGAATCTACCCACCACTTTGTCGCCTAGTGTGGATCCGGTTCTTCCGTTTAGGTCGCCAAGGATTGTGACCTCTCCCCAATGTTTGATATTTCTTGATGCAGCTGTTCGAAAAATTCGTCTTTTTTGTTCACTGGGGCGTCGTCGTTGACTGCGTGCACCCCGACCATCGTTAGCCTAAGTCCAAACAGTGTCAAGTTCATTTTGATAATGCGTTAACTAATGTCTTCCCATGATGTTATAAATCTTGGCAACTTTTTCGCAACTAGAATAGACACGCCTTGTTGTGCTCTCTTGTCTTTGGCCACGCCACTATAGAAATGATCGTAGTGTCCCAGATTTTCGGAGCCTTGTCCTTTCTTCTTTGTTTCCGTTACCACTGCCACCTGTATTTCTAGTCTCTGGAGTTCATAAATTACTTCGTTTGTTTTGTTGGAGATTCCTTGGATATTCCATGTACCAAAATTCGTTATCATTTTCCGTAGCTTGGGTCGTCTTAAGGGATTCCGTCCTTTCCGAGGCTGTCGATTGGGTTTTTTAACAGATTTAAGTTTTTACCAGTAACGGGGAGTTGGGCCGATATCTCAACCCCCTACCAGGAGGGCCAGGTGATTTGTACTCAAGGTTGTCTTCCTCTAGCCTTTCATGTACCATCATCCCACTAAAAGGCAGTAGTTTCTTCGCCGTACAGCACTTACATCCGAGCCAGATGAACCCTGGTTTTTTAACGAGGTTGTTACTCCTCCCCCTCCTCCTTTCCCAGAAGTGCAATGGGACCCCAGGCTTGGGACTGGCATAACGGAGTTCCACTCTGGGTTACTATTTCTATTTTATAGTTTTTATTATATTATTTATTATTTCTTTATCCAGAAGCTATATGATTGATTCCTATCGCCCGCTTCAAATCACTGTAAAGCACGTGCTCTATCGTAGTGGCAAGCACGTGGCTGTCATTTCTATAAGTTGTTGAACTCGAAGTCCTTGCATAGAACAGTTCACAGACAAACGGTGGAAGTTCCACTACAATTAACAATATCAATATCTGTATTGTATAGAAACCACATATTTAGCATAACTTAATAAGCACAGATTTTATTTTTACGTATGCATGATTAAGGACTCTTTATTAGGTTCTGTTGAGTTTGTAATGAAAATAGCATAAAAATAAAATTTAAACTTTTTCAAATTTGATGACTTTTTCCTACCTACGTTTTTAAAAATAAAATAATTAAATAAAAGGTTCATTAATGCACTCAATCAGTAATACTCTATTGTAAAAAATTTATAAATTCAACGATGAAATAAGCCAACACCCCGTATACATTACTCTCCTCCCGAGGGATAATCCCGTAAAACGCACAAAAAGAGTGTTTCTCTTCAGTCTTATCGCCTTATCCCATCTATCCTTAAAACCCGAACTGCTTGTATCCGTTTTCCTTAAAACGGGATAAGGTTCCCGCTGCCGCCGCCGGCTGTTTCCAAACTAAGCTTTTTGCATGGGGTAGGCTTATCTGCGAAGGCATACGTTTGTCTCTGGGTCCCTCGAGAACCGAAGAAGTTATAAAAGTGGGATTTTACGCTCCCCGGTAGCTTTAAAACGTTTTAGGGGGGACGCGTACGTGGCGACTTGCTCCCATGCCCGATTTAGTTCGCTTCGAGGCAATTAGAATAATTGATGTGGCATATCGGTGTCGCGAGAGATTTAAATGGCATTTAAAAACTTTGACTGGAGTTGTTATAAAATGTTCGATTGAAGTTAGCGAGAATTTTAAGAGCTGACGATGTGTATCGTTAAAGTTGTGGAGCCCCACACACGTGTTGTGTAGAGTTTTTCGCCCTACAAACAAGTTAGTCCTTTAAACCTGCCGAGTTGTGTATAATTATCACAGACGTCTATCTAAAAGAGACCGCATAAATTATTCATATGATTGCTGTTGCTGGAGTAAAAAATGTTGCCTAAATATGATTGGGTACTATGGTAGCCACGTAAGATGGGACAAAATAATAATAAAAGAAAACATAAGAGTTGGGGTACTTATTCCTAGAAGCACAGAGGATATTTTTTAACTAATTCCTCGGGTAGTACCTCAAATTTCTTAATTAATACAGCTAATACCTTGACAATTACTACTAACTGCTCGATTAATGTCAATAATTTCTTCTAATTTTAGTAATCCCTCTATTGATACTAGGAATTCCTCTACTCTTATCACTAATACCCAAGATTTGAACACCAAAATTCCACCAAGTTATGCATCTCGGTAGCTTGCGAATTTTCAAAGTTACTTTTCGTTAGCCCTGAACATGTTCGCAGCTTTTAATGTAACAATATTAAACTATTATAAAGGATAAATGGATAATGACAACCACATGCGGTGCCTTTGAAGGTTTTTGAAAAGTTTACACTAGATAATTCTACAGAAATTCCCAGAAGAATAAAAAGTACCATCGTCTATAAATCATGCCTTCGATTTGTTTATAAAAACATAAAATTATACTTCGGAATTCATAGCAATATCCAAAAACACCTTTTCACTTTCAAAATGTCACTTTTCCTCCCAAACATTAGTAAACGCACACCCCCATGATATGGAGGTGCCTTTTTAGATGTCAGTGTCCTGTTAGGATACCTACCAGGGTTCGTAGTAGCGCGCAACTGAGACTGAGAGATCACTTTCGATCCTCGTAGACGTAGACGGTCCCGCAATTAGAACCCTCAAATGCCTTAGTCCCTGTAAAGTGGACAGCAAACTATCTCCCGAACTATTGGGAATTGGTGTGCGCGCTGTGCTCGCCCTATGTGGTACTTTTCTTTTGTCTGAATGTTTAGCGTATTTAACTCATTCGGAGTGCAATTTAATTTATCAAAATTAGTGCGGAGTGTATAGTAACATTTTTCTCTTCGTATTAAGTGTTAGCAACAACCCCTGTTTTATCAGTAGGCTGTTTAAAGGTTGTGCACGTGTGTTGTCATTGCGCGGAGTCAGATTAGTTTTTGTCACCCCGGTGACGTTGATCTGTTGGGAACGGACTGTGCGCACGGAAGCTTTCGTCTATTTGATTGGTTTATTTGAGGCTGAAGACCGATAGTTGCTTTATCATTGAAAAATGAGTGAAAGTTTGGGAGTATGCAAAAGGTGCAAGAGCAGCTCCATTAAATCTGGTCTTAGGTGCGTTAGATGCGGTGTTTTGTCACACGTCAGTTGTCTAAAGCAGATAAAAACTGCGAAGTGGTCTGTTAATGGTAAATCGGTTACATGTTGTGAAGATGAGGTTGCCAAAACTG